TGGGGGGGGGTTAGCATATATATATACACATACATATACATACATACAGATAGGTAGATAGATAGATGGATAGATAGATAGATCGTGTATTGTACATGTCTAGAAACATATGTGAAGATTCAGATGGGCGAAGATACTGACTGAGCAGACATCTAGAACGAGGCAGAAGGTAAACAAGTGTCAAAATTGCATCCTTCTTCCTTTGCCTTAGGAAGGGGTCACCCAGTGCTCTTACACAGGCCAAGGCCCAAGATCCAAACACAGCTGAGTTGCTCTCTCTCTCTCGGTCGGTTTCGGCGGAACACAGAAGACCCAAGTGGGGCAAGACAGCCGTAGAAGTGTTCAGTGCGATGCATTCTTGTTCTGCCCAGACAGAAGTCAGACGAACTACAGGAGGCACATAAGTCATCAGGCCCATTTTCCCTTCCACCGCTTTCGTTCGACAGATGAAACAAGAGGAAACACAAGATACTACACAAAAGCTCACGTTTACAATCCACGCGGTTGGCCTCAGCCTGTCATGGCTGATGCTGCGGCTCGCACGGTTGCCAAGCGGCTTGTGCATAGAGTATGTAAGCCAACTCCCTTTGCACGCTGGCCGAATGAATCCCACAAGCTACCAGCCATGTTGTTGACAAGTGCACACACGAGCAGGCAAGCACTCAACCACAGAAAATTGTCCAGGTTCTGCTCGAAGAGGGAGGCGGAGGGGACTGGTTACACGTGTTAGGACGAATCTGCTTTGATGACGATTTTGCCTCGCTGCACTTGTCCAGCTGCGCAGACCCCCGATTCCATGATCCTACTATGAGATGTGCCCCCCTGCCTAAACTTATGCCATCCGGAGGCCGACTGATGACGAGCTGGGACTCCGGTGTGATTTTGAGTCAAGCGACTGTGACTGGGTGGGCTGGCAGCGTGCTAGGCACACTCCCGGCGGAGACGGTGAGTGGTCCATGACCAGCGATGAAGAAAGCATTCTTCTCAGCCCAGAATTTCCGCCAACAGCTGCTCCGAGATGGTTCTTTTTCTCTTATCTTTCTCAGACATATGATGCGCAGATTGACTATCGTGATAGCTCGGGTACCGTCTGGACCAAAGCTTGGGGAGCGGAGGCCGGAGAAACCTGGACCGAGGCGAAGGTTCTGATGCCTGCGGGTACAACGGGCCTCCGTTTCATGGTGCCCTATGGAGACAGGGTTTCTGTTGACCACACGGATATTGGGGAACCTGCCGACCCACCCGTTTTTGCAGACTTCGGTTTGGGCAGCCTTCACTCATGCGTGTTTCACACGGTCACGCATGAATTGCGATGTTGGGGTATGGGCGTGCACGGCTTGCTTGGGAACGGCAAGACAGCGTACATGGAGCTGTCCGAAAGCATGCCAGCAGTGGACCTTGGGTCTGGTCGTACAGTACGACAGATTTCAACAGCTCGTCACCACAACTGTGCTCTGCTGGATGACTTTTCAGTAAGATGTTGGGGCCTGAACAACAATGGAGAGCTGGGGCAAGGGCATGGTTACACGAATTGGTGGCTCTCCGGGGACGGCCTGGCTCCCGTCGACTTGGGCTCTGGCACTGTGCGGCGCCTCGAAAGAGGCGAGTATCATCACTGTGCCGTTTTTGAGGATGATTCCGTGAAATGTTGGGGAGGGAACTGGGGAGGTCAACTCGGTCTCGGCGATACTCATAAGCGTGGTGCTGAACCCAACGAGATGGGAGACAACTTGCCTGCTGTGAACTTGGGCGCTGGTCGCAAGGCTAGGCGGGTTGCGGCAGGCAATGCTCACACATGCGTTCTGCTGACGGATTCCTCCGTGACATGTTGGGGCAAGGGCTCTGAGGGCCAGCATGGGCATGGCACCACCATGATGTATGGCAGCCATACGAACCAGATGGGAGACAGCCTTCCGCTTCTCGACTTGGGCACTGGACGCACAGCCATGCAAATCAGCGCTGGTGCGCACCACACTTGCGCCCTGCTGGACGACTCCACCGTGAAGTGTTGGGGTCAGAACCAATTTGGTCAGTTGGGGCAGGGCGACAGGCTAAATCGAGGAAGGGGCCCACACGAGATGGGCGATAGCCTGCCTGTCATAGACCTGGGCTCAGGCAAATTCGCCAAGAAGGTCGCTGCCGGTTCGGACTCAACGTGTGTTATATTGAATGATTTCGCTGTGAAGTGTTGGGGAGCCAACCACCATGGACAGCTCGGTCTTGGGCATACAGAGCATATGGGAGACGACCCCAACGAGATGGGAGGACATCTCCCCTTCCTGGATCTGCTTGAAGGGGCAGTGTTCATCAAGATCGGAGATGCCAAGGCAGTTGCTATACTGGAGGATGGATCCATCAAGCTCTGGGGTATCGGTGATGATACCAATCGGGGTGATGAGCCGGAAGAGATGGGGGAAGCGTTGGACTCGCTAATCCTACCCCTGGGTAGCCGGAGCCGAGATGTTCGGCTTGCAGGGGCATCGGCAAGTTCATCTCTGCGTGGCCGCTTGGAGGCGGGAATGGGTGTCCTAGTAGTTAAGTAGTTGATTTAGGCAACCTTAAACCTTTTGGATGAAAATGATCCTACCAATTTACAAGGTTAACGTACCCGACATCTAAGTCAGTTGGCGTTGCATTCTAGGCTCCACAAAGTGTGAGGTCCCACGATTGATTTCAAGGGGTCATCACCAGTTCTTCCAAACACAGTCCGCATTCCAGTACCCTCCGAGGTGCTGCAGGGCGAAGAGTGGTTGTCTGTGTGTGATGACGAATTTGGCAGCGTGAACGCCCGAGTCGTTTGTAGACAACTGGGCCTCGCGGGCGGAAGCCCCTTGATGAGGTTCGGAGGCGGCAATGGAACAATCCTGATGGATGACGTGGTCTGTAGGGGTGATGAGGCAAACCTTGCTGAATGCAACTTCCGTGGCTGGGGCGTGCACGATTGTATTCACCTCGAAGATGTTGGTGTTCAGTGTCATGTTGATGCTTGGAGTGACCTTTCAAGAGCCGGTGGCCCTGCTCCACGTGCAGGACACGCATCAGTATCCTAGTGGCTGGGTAGGTAGCCTTTATCCTTTTCGGGCGCATATGATCCTGCCATAAACAAAAAGGTTAACCCTCAACTTCCCTAAACCCTACACCCTAAACCCTGAATCCAAAACCCTGAACCCGAAACCCTGAACCCCTAAAACCTTTTCTTGGGCCAGGGGACTCGCCACCTAAGGTCTGGGTTGCAGCAGAGCAGTCCATGCTTCTTCTCGCAGGACAGGCCAAGCCTCACTTCCAGTTCTTCGACGATCTTTGGCTGTACCTTGGGCTCCAAAAAGACACCGTTTTGAAGGGTTTAGACTCCTTTAGGGTTTCGGGTTTAGGGTTTAGGACTGTACGGGTTTATCGGTCGTAACCTAGCTATTCTGTAGGGTTTGGGGCTGCAGGTATCGCCTGGAAGCACAGGCGTGGTCGCAGATTGCCGTCTCGGGGGGCCCCTCGACTCGAGCAGAGCATTCTGCTGTGTGGGATGCTGGCGATGATGCCTTGCTGGTCTTCGGTGGCCACTACGGAAGTGAGGTTTATGACGAATTGTGGGTTTTCAGCCTCCACCAAACAGCCTGGAGCCTGCCAACCTTCGCCGTTGTTCCGGCGGGTCGATTCGGCCATTCGGCTGTGTGGCATTCCAGGCTGCGTGGCATGATAGTCTTCGGTGGAGAAAGCGGATCCAGCCTGAACGACCTGTGGCAGTACCTTAGTAGCTGAGTAGGTAACCCTTTTACCTTTTTGGGCCTACATGATCCTACCATAAATTGAAAGGTTAACTGCAGGTGAGCCTTTTTCCGGCCAGGGTATTCGACACCCAAGGTACAGAGTGAACGGAAGCCACACATCAGGGTCGGGCTCTTGGCAGCAGCTCGCTGCTTCGGGTGTTGGCCCGCAGGCGCGCAGCCACCACACCGCTGTTTGGGATGACGTCACGGAAGCGATGCTGGTCTTTGGGGGCTGGTCAGGCACTTCGCCTTTGGGTGACCTGGTAGCTGAGTAGGTCACCTTATGACCTTTAACCTTCTTGGGCTTACATGATCTAACCTTAAAGTCAGAACGAATCAGAAGGTGAACCTTGTTTGGGCCAGGGTACGCGACACCCAAGGTGACTTATGGTGTTATGACAGTTGGCGTGGGCATTGGACACAGCTCTCGACCGGGCCATCCAGCAGATCTGAGCACACGGCAGTTTGGGACAGTGTGTCGATGTCCATGATTCTGCACGGGGGCATTCAGCAGGTGGACGGCAACTAGGTTGCCCAGTCGTACCCTTCTGGTTTCCCGTAGTATTAAAGTAGAGTAGCAGGGAAAAGCGTGCCGTTGTTTTGGGGGGTCTACCCAGGCATCTTTAGCTATGCCACGGACTTGTGGAACTACAGCCTCCTCGAGGACGCCTGGCATCCTCTGGGGATCTTGGGGCTACTGGGTCCCTGAGTAGTACCCTTTTGCCCTTTTTCTCGGAAATTCTTCATTATTCAAACAGAGCAGTAATAAAAAAGAGAGGGCACCTTTTTTTTTTGATGGATCTACTGGGAAATTGAGGCCAGCTGACTACCACCCGGATGGCCGATACGGTCACGCAGCAGTCTGGGACCCGATCTCGCGAAGCATGCTCATCCTGGGAGGTGCCAGCACTGTCTACAAGTCCGACTCCTTGTAGCTGAGTAGGTAACCTTTAACCCTTTTTGGGCTTACATGTTGCTACCATGTGTATGAAAGGATAGCCTTCTTTGGGCCAGGGGTATGCGACTCCTAAGGACTTCTGGCGTTACCTTGGCCCAGCAGCATCAGCGACTCTTGTGGTGCACTGCTCTCTCGGCCAAGAGTGCAGCATGGATGTGTCGAACGCGACCGGGCCAGGGGGAAGACTCACAGCTGCCGACAGCTGTGACTTTCTGGATCCAGACTTTCGCTTTACCTTTGTCGTGCGTCATGTTCAAGGTGGGGAGTTGCTGAAGAGAGAAAGACCCTACAACCCACCATCCGGATAGAGACAGATCACATGGCGTTCATGTTGACAATCAGAAAAACTCCAAGTATGTTTTTCGTGACAACAACCTTCCGCCCGGAGGCGGCTGCAGCACAGATTCGGCTGCGTGCGACTGCGATGGCAATGTGACCCCAGATGTCCACGGTGCTTACCGTCTTTGTTCGTCACGAGGATTTCTCGTGTACACTGACCCCAACCTTGTGCCAGTGAACGGCTCCACGAAATCTTCGACCACAAGACTCCTCGCAGGTGGGGTGGGGCGTCGGGGTGCACAAACTGGTTGTGTGACCAGAACCCCAAACCCTCCACCATAAACCCTCAGCCCTGGACCCTAAACCCCAAACCTCTAGAGTCCTATAGTTTAAGCGACATTCCTGGGCTTTCTGAGTACAAACAGCTGGCACTCTGTTCCATTTTGATTTCCTTTATGTTCCTTTTAGACGGACCTATTCATAAATACTTTTGAGAGCTCAAAGTTCCCATCCAGACTACGACTACCAAGGTACATATCGGCTCTGCTGGTGGCGCTTCGAGGTCTCTGAGGCGCAGTATGTCGAAGAGAGTGATTTTCTCACTGGCACCGGTTTCTGGGTCATAGTTGGGTAACACTTTACATTTCAAGGGTACTTAAACTCATAAAGTGATAAAGAATCTCGATTTTTATTTCTCTCCCAACCACGAACTAGGTTTGTTGGTGGTGCGTGGTCCTTTCCCCAATCAGTCCTCCGAGTGCTACGTCGGAGCGCAGTGTGTTGTAGTCGGTTTACAAGGGGCGAAGCTTGCGCAGGATGACTTGTTGTTGCCAATGCAGCTGTGCGGCACCCCTAACATGTCTTCTGTGTTTCCAAATCCACAGCCTATCTCCGCTGCCTTCACCGAATCCCATGAGCTCGTCTTTGATTTCGGTGTGCTGCCAACGAACACAAGCCCGGAGAAGCTTCAGTTGTGCTGGTGCGCGTCGAGATCGAGTTGCATTTTGCTAGAGGATTTTCGTGCAACGGCAATGACGTTGGAGGTGGTTTGCCCTCCTGGCACCTACGAGCTGCTAAGCATCGATTTGCAGTGCCAGGAGTGTCCGCCGGGCTATTTCTGTCCAGGTGGTCAGACAGCCGAGTTGCGGCAGTGCCCCGAAGCCCGAACTTCCCCTCCCCGCTCCAGCGCTGAGGGGCATTGCCAGTGCCGCCGCGGCACCTACTGGGATGCGGAGTCCGGCTCCTGCCGTCCATGCCTCATTGGCTCCTACAAGAATCGGACCGGCGGAACCGAGTTCTGTCAAAGTTGCCCGGTCGGAACGACAACACTAGACACTGGGGCCATAGCACTGCATGAGTGCTACTGTGCAAACAATTACTTGGACATGAACCTTGACCCAGAAAGGTTTGATTGCACAGAGCAGGCAAGTCCATCACTTTTGAGTGCCCAGGTCCCCGAGTAGTACCCTTTTCCCCTGTTTGTTTTGAGGTCCCCTCCTTCAAGCAGAGTATCAAGCAAAAAAGGGAATCTTTTTTTTCTTACGGCTCTACTGGGGAACCTAGGTGCAGATCATGAATCACTGGATGTGCCCAGACAAGTTGAAGCGCACGTCTTCTCTGGCACTCTTGAAGGAACAGGTTCCAGCACCCTAGAAGAGTTCCGCACTGTTCTGGTGTCCCGCCTCGGGCTGGAGGGACTTGCACGTGTATCCTTGGCCCTATCGGCCGCCAGTGGGAGACTCGACTACGAGATCACAAGCTCAGACGCAGAGCTCGCGACCGAGCTGCATGCAAAGTTTGATCAGGCCCCCTTTTCTGCTTGGATATCTTCCGAACACAAGGGCACTGCGTGGGCTCTGGCAACAGTGGCTTCGCAGGAAGCCGTGCAGCAGCAGTTGTTGGTGTGCCCGGGCATCTTGGCATTTCCACCAGGCCCAGTTGGAGGCCTCGCAGATTGCCGATGTCCCCATGGCACAGAAGCTGCAGGCGGCAGCTGCCAAGCGTGCCCCACAGGTAAGTACAAGTCGACAGTGAGCAACACGAGCTGTACAGCTTGCAGTTTCGGACTGACGACGCTGCAGCCCGGCACCGTGTCCTCTGCAGCATGCACCTGCTCAGCGGGTTATGTTAGCGTCGTGCCAGGGGATCCTGCTAGCTGTGAGGTTTGTGGCACCGGCTCTTTCTGCCACGGCGGAGATCACCGAGAGGCCTGCCCACTCTCCACATCCACGTTGGTCTTGACAGCGAGCAGTGTGGCGGACTGCGTCTGCGCCGCAGGGCACTTCGGCTTCGAGGTTTGCGAAGAGTGCCCAGCCGGCCGTTTCAAAGACCTGGTTGGCCAAGGTGAATGCTCGCCCTGCCCGATAGGCACCTGGAGCAATGTCACGGGAGCTGTCTCAGATGGACCGTGCACTCCATGTGTCAGCGGATCGACCACGGAGTTCACTGGGTCCTGGACCGAAGATCTCTGCATCCGCCCGCACGGCGAGCAGCGTGTTGATTGTACCACTGGAGCAGGTTGTGAAGTGCAGATCGACGGGTTCAATCTGCAAGATGGGCATCGCCTCCTCATATCCCAAACCGACTGTGGTGGCAGAAAGGTTGCAGTGCTGGGCGTAGCCGACACAGGCATGTCTGAAGCTGCGAGCGAGGACGGCAGCCTGTATGCATTCAGTGACTTTGTGCCGTTTGCTGGGAACTACCATTTGTGCTGGTGCGCCAACATGAATGACTTGGCCTGTGTCGAAGAGGAGGACTTCCAAATTTCTGCCGGTGACCTGCGAGTTCTCGGACCCTTCGGAAATCAGAAGTTCAGTTGCGTCCGCGGCCGGGACTGCACAGGCTTTCAGGTGCAAGGTATTGGGCTGTCTCAAGGTCGCCGAGTGGCGGTGCGAAGCGATTGTGGTACTGAAAGTACACTGCACCTTTCGCCAGCCAATCCGGACGGCTCCGGCCTCTTGCAGGGTGTTGAGCAATTCACCTTGGACTTCGGCTCATCGCAAGATGGCATCGATCACAGCGTATCTCTCGATGAGAGCGAGGGCTACACTCTCTGTTGGTGTGGAGTCTGGCCTTGCGATCCCCAGGATTTCGTGGTTCCCTTCGGCCAGCTGGTCGTGGAAGGTCCTCGAAAAAACCAAGAGGTCAGCTGTGCTGCTGGACAGCCGTGTGCCTTGACAGAGATCTTGGGCCAGCTGAGGCCTGGCGACAGGATCATGGTTCTGGCTGCATGTGGAACCGGTTCGGCCATTTCAGGCTTCCCCGGTGGTGGAATCGCTGAGGTTGTTGATCTGCCAGAACAAGCCGCTCGGTACAAGGTGGCTACCTCCAAATGATCCTGAGAGAGCCCAAAACCTGAAGCGACAGCGAATTCTTGCCAATACGGTGAACCCCAAAGCCCCTGAACGATCTTGAGCGATAGTAAACGCTAATCCTACACCTTAAACCCCAAACCCTTAACCTCACACCCCAAGCTCCAAACCCTAAAGCCCTACGAAAGCCTAAACCCTAAACCCCAAAACCCCAACCCTAAACCCTTAGCCATAGTTAATGCCTTAACCCAAACCTCTAAAGCGCTAGAAACCCGAAAGCCTAAGCCCTAAACCCCAAATCCCAAGCCTTACACCCTAAGCCAAGAACCCCAAACCCTGATCCCCAAAGCCCTAGAAGCCCGAAAGCCTTGCAAGGACCATGCTGCTTTCCATTTCCGGGGCGACTCGAAACTGCTGCTCTCGCCGTCCGGGATCTTCAGACTCTGCTACTGCAGGCCTGTATAATCATAGCTACTACCACTACGACGACGACTACTACGTCTGCTACCACTACTACTACTTCTTCTTCTACTACTACCACTATAGCCACTCGTAGTCCTACAACTACTCCTGCTACTCCTGTGTCGACGATGACACCTACCGCTACGACAATGACAGGTGCTCCTCTTCCTGCTACTCCTACTACTCCTACTACTCCTACAATTCCTACAACTCCTACTACTCCTGCTCCTAATACTTCTACTACTCCTACTACTTTTAATACTCCTACTGCCACTCCTACTACTCCTACTCCTCCTACTACTCCAACTACTCCTACTGTTACTACTACTACTACTACGACGACGACGACTACTACTACTACTACCTAGAACCGGCCACAGTTGCACCCCCTCCAAAAAAAAGCTATGGTTGCGCAACAGAGTTTTCTGATAGAGCCCTAAACCCTAA